ATTTAATAATTATCACTAAATTCTTATTTTGTAATTATTATAACAAATATATCTTAATTATAATTTTGGAAACAATGTTTCTGTACTGTATTTTTGGTAATCATTTCTATTGCGATCATTAATGTGTAAAAATAATGAAAATCTTTGTTTGAAATGTGAGACAATTTAAAGTTAATAGAAAAATAATAAAAACAAAACTTAAATCAATTAAAGTATTTTTAATATAACTTTTATTTTTAAGTTTGATTTAACTTAAGTCCATAAATGAAATGTTTAATTAAATGATGCAAATATTAAAATGTATATAAACTCTATATTCAGGTCAATAAAGTGTGTGCAGTAATCGATGCAACCATTTAATCGCCGTCCGGGAGTACGGCGTCAGGCATTTCATTGGAGTTGATATCCAAACTGGACTCCGGTTTAGCACCGGTTTGCTTATCATTGCCGTCGGCGTTGTTGTCCGCATCTCCGGCACCGATCTCTTGACCAGCGGTGGAAACAATAGTGACCATTGTTTGGGCGACGCTAAGGGCGGCAGCCGTGGGCTTAGAGGGCGTCAGAATCATTGAATCCACTTTCTTCTTCGGACACGTAGTCTTACCGAAGATTCTCTCGCGATGTCCGACACCTTTGCAATAACTGCATTTGGGAGGACCCGCTCTCTTGCGTTTGCTGCCGCCATCGCCCGCACTGTTGTCCGTCTTCTTCGGTGAGTCCTTTCGCTCAACTTTTAACTTCTTATTACTCTTTGGCGAAAATATGCTTTTCCTCTGAAAAAATAGATAAACAATTAGTTCGTATCAAAGAGTGCTGTGTTTAACATGTGTTAAGACATACACTATTGGTTCGGTCCCCAGCGGTGTCCATAAGAATCAGATTGGATGCGATGGTATCGACATTAGGATCGGGACATATCAACGGCCTGTAGTTAACGGCCGTGAAATCCCTGATATTGTCGAATAGATATTTGCGGCGCTCGTATGGCATTCCCTCGATCTCAAGACATTCGGGCAAATCGCCGGATATGGACTCTAAGTCTTCGTTGGCGATCAGCGCGTATGAGATGGTGTCGCTGTTGACCAGACGGCGACAGAGCACGAGTCCGGGCACTTCGTTACTGATCTCGAAGTGATTGTTAGCCGTGAGTATAGAGGCGTCCAAATTGTTGATATGAGAGAACTTCTCGTTCCAGTCGAGGAGCGGGAACTC